GGCGAATTCTTAATGTGTCTGGTTTCAGTCTTTTGCATAAGCAACTACTTCCACGCTGGGTGTGTGTGCGTGTGTGTGTGCGTGTGCGTGTACGTGTGCGTGTGTGCGTGTGTGTTTGTGTGTGTGTGTGTGTGTGTGTGTGTGTGTGTGTGTGTGTGTGTGTGTGTGTGTGTGTGTGTGTGTGTGTTGTGTGTGTGTGGGTGTGCGTGTGTGTGGTGTGTATGTGTGTGTGTATGTGTGTGTGTGTGTGTGTGTGTGTGTGTGTGTGTGTGTGTGTGTGTGTGTGTGTGTGTGTGTGTGTGTATGTGTGTGTGTGTGCGTAAGTGTGTGCGTGTGCGTGTGCGTGTGCGCGCGTGTGTGTGTGTGTGTGTGTGTTGTGTGTGTGTGTGTGTGTGTGTGTGTGTGTTGTGTGTGTGTGTGTGTGTGTGTGTGCGTGTGTGTGTGCGTGTGCGTGTGCGTGTGTGCGTGTGCGCGTGTGTGTGGTTGTGTGTGTGTGTGGTGTATGTATGTGTTGACTTTGCTTGGTCCTGGAGAATGAGGATTTCTGGTTCCTGGTATCAGCGCTCCAATCCGCACCGCTTTACCTGGTACAGCGTGGCTAGGGAAATCGACCACGCCCTTGTTAGCACTCGCTGGAGGATCCTTCAGAACTGCTGGGTGTTTCACCTGGACAGATTGGGAGAAGACGAGTGTACATGTAGGTTCGTAGCAGCAATCTCTTATTGTTGACAGTGCTTGAAGACATACCCTGCAGTCCTATGGGATTCCTGTGGACGTAGGAATATGGTAGCAATCACCGACGATTGACAGTGCTTGAAGACAGACCCGGCAGTCCTATGGGATTCCTTTGAGCGTGAAACACTCGACGCAGCCCAGGAGTCCATTGGTGAACGTCCGAGGACAAGGCGGAATTTCATCTCGCTGGAGACGTTGCAGGCCACAGATGTATCGATGGCTCATCTGAATGGGGTAGTTGGGATTTGCACTGTTCCTTAGTGCACAGGGCTCGGACTCTGCTGAGAAGGGATAAGGAACAGTTTATCAGGAATCTTGCTGACGAGGTAGAAAGCCATTTCCTAGTAAATGACCTTCGTCCCGCCTACCAAGCCCAGAGAAAACTGAACCCCAATCCCTCCTCACGGATGTCTGCGGTCCGCTCAGTGGATGAACAGATCATTTCAGATCATGTTTGGGTTCGTGAACATTGGGCAGAGAATTTTGAGCAGCTGTATCAGATAGACCTCCCAGCAGTTAGTCTAGATGCAAGGGATGTCGCAATCCCTGTGCCTGACCCACCCATCAGTGAGAACCTCCTTTCCCTGAGGTTAGGAAGGCGATCTCTAAGCTGAAGGGTGGGAAAGCTGCAGGCATGTGCGATATCCTTGCTGAACGGCTGTGAGTGAGCCTATGGCACGGGGATTGCTTGCTGTCCTGGCTGCCATCTGTCAGTCCGATTCCATTCCCCCTGACTCTGGAAGGGGAAAGGGAATCTTTGGGACTGTAGCAACTACCGTAGCATCACATTGCTCAGTATACCAGGCAATGTTTTCTCCCACATTCTTCTGAAATGGATCCGCAACCGCCTAAAGCACCAAAGACCGGAGCAATCTGGATTCACTCCTAGCAAGTTCACTTGTAGAACGTCACCGTGAGTTCTGTTGTGAGCTACATCGAACTCAAGGAGTTTGATTCAAATCGTTATGGGAGATCCTGAGACTTAGAGGAATTCCAATACGGATTATTGGTTTAATGGCAAGCCTATATACTGGTAATGAAAGTGCTGTGAAAGTGTGTGGTGAGGAGTTACTTTCCAAAGTCAGAGTGGAGCGACACTGGGCAATATCAAGGTCATGGACACTGACTTTGCCGACGATGTTGCAAATCTGTCTCTGGAATCTCTGGTAGCGGCTCTTGGTGCATTTAGCAGTGAGGCGAAGCCCCTGGGCTTGCAGGTCTCATGGACTAAGACCAAGATCTAGGATTTTGGGGGCCTGTTAGGAGGACCTGTTCAGTCAATACATACTTGCAGCATGGACGTTGAAGTCACAGAGAGCTTTACTTGCCTTGGTAGTGCTTTTCATGTCTCTGGGTTGTCAGACCAGGAAGTCAGTTGACGGATTGGCCTGGCAGCAGGAGCCATGAACTCAGTCAACAACTATATTTGAAGGTGCTGATACCTATGATAAGGACTAACTTGCGTGTCTTGATACTTCCAGTTTTGTTTTATGGAAGTGAAACCTGGACGCTATCTAGTGCCTTAGAGTCACATCTCCGAAGCCTTTTGTAACAAGTCCTTACGCCGGATCATGTGGTACAGTTGGCAAGACCAGGTGTCCAACCGATGACTACACCGTAAGAATGGCATAGCACCTGTTACTTAAACAATCCGTGACCGCCAACTCAGGCTATATATGCACGTAGTCCGTTTCCCTGTGGATGACCCTGCCCATCAGTTCTCTTTACACAAGACAATCCTGGGTGGAGGAGGCCTGTGGGGTGACCTAGGAAGTCGTGGCTTGGCCAGCTCGACCAGACCTGTCGTGAAGATCTAGAGATGGGCCGAGGGCCTGCCTGGCGACTCGCCATGAGGGACCGCCCGTGCTGGAAGTGAGTGGTGAATGCGGCTATGCGTCCCCGTCGCCGTCAACCCTTTGGGATGATGATGAAGATACATATATATATATATATATATATATATATATATTATATATATATATATATATATATATATATATATAATTAAAGGAAAGATTAGAGTAAGAAAGTCAGTGTGTTTAGCCAAATAGATCCATCGAGAGGGAGGGGTAAATATAATAGGAATAGTGTATTTATAAGTATGGAAAGAGTGAAATTAAATACATATTAAGAAGGGATAGAGGAGGAAAGAGACAATTAGACAAAGATTGATAAATAAAAAGAAATTGGTAAATAGAAATATAGATGAATACATTATATAGATGTAGATGATGTAGATGAATAAACATAGAGAAATACAGCTATACGTGTATACAGAAATACTTAATCACAGTTAAAAGATATATGAGATATAGATAGTAGATAAATCAATACATACATAGGTAAATAGACAAGGTAGACAGCCACAAAGATGCACACAGACAGATAGACAGATAGAAAGACAGACAGATAGATGAGTATATATTTACAGAAGACTTTACCTTATTTTCCATAATGTTTATATACCTTTTTTTCATTTTGATGAGGCAATGACGTCAGGAATATTTTACAATATTTGAAAAGTTAGGCAAAGTGGCCGTTAACTGGAAAAAAACGGAAAATCGCCTAAAATATAAGTAATATCAAAGAGGAGAGAGAGAGGAGAGAGAGAGAAAAGAAAGGAAGAGATAGAAAAAAGAGAGAAACAGACAGACGGAGAGACAGAGACAGAGACACCGATAATATATATAATATATAATATATATATATATATATATATATATATATATATATAATCTACTGTTTTATCGATTTTTTTACTTATTTACTCATTTATTTTTTCTATCTCTAATTTACATAAAGATAAAAAGAGAGAGACAGATAGAGGGGGGGGGAGAGATAGAGATAGAGAGAGAGAGAGAGAGAGAGAGAGAGAGAGAGAGAGAGAGAGAGAGAGAGAGAGAGAGAGAGAGAGAGAGAGAGAGAGAGAGAGAGAGAGAAAGAGAAAGAGACGAAGCACGGAGAAAGAGAGAATCAAATAGGCAGACAGACAGACAGACGGATACAGCGACAGACTCAGAAACATACATAAAGACATCGAGAAAGACAAATAGAATTGGGTACAGACAGATGCTGAGAGAAACATGCAGATAAAAGGACAAACATAAAAAATCAGACAGACAGACTAAAGAACAGGAGAGATATAAAAAGAAATAAAAAAGTAAAGTAAATTTCAAAATCATCGGAGACCGTTAGATTAACTTCCAGGACATTTAAATCCGTTTATAATGACGTTTTTTTCCCCTTTTCCCCTTTCTTCTATCTTTCTTCCTCTCCTTTTAACCTTTCTGATAGAATAGCCGTCCATTAGCCTTAACGACCAATTAAGTAGAGTAATCTGTTGCAATAAAAAAAAAAAAAAAAAAATCGTAGATGGAATACGTGCGTAAGACTTATTAGTAAATTTAATACACATAAACAAATATGAATTATTAAAAGCTTTGATCATGAATCATTTTTGGTTCGCTATTTGAAATAATAAATATATATGATATTTATAATGTATATATTATCGCTTCATGTTACCACAAAAAAACATTTACATGCTTTGAATGCCTTTGTGGATAAACTTTTCCCTAAAATCGCAACAATACACATCATGAAAATTCACTCATGTCACAAAATTTTACATTCAGTATCCAGTGGAGAGTAAAAGCGTTGTCCATTAAATGATTATCATAATTTTATCAAATTACGTTGATTAAACATTGATGCTGCCTTTGTGCCGTTTTCTTTCAAAACCGTTTTCTTTTTTTTTAACATTTCAAGGGGAACTCAAGCAAACACTCAACATTTTGACACGGGATAAACCAGCGACTCTGGTACGTTTCTCCCTCGTGACCCCAAAGAGCAAGAAAGTTTCTTGATCTGGCCAGACCTCCCCACCCCCCCCTTCCTTCTCCCCCTTCCCCCCTCCCCATCACCCCAACTCCCCCTCCTCCACTCCCAAGAGCACCCCCCTTCCCCCCCCCCCCCCAACACGTCTCTCGAGTTGACTAGACTTCCCGGCTCTTTTTTGAAGGAAGAGAAACAAGGCTCTCGGGGTTTGGGTCCAGTGGTTCGTTCGTTCGGTTCGGGGCTTCGCTTCGCTCGCTCCGGTTGCTTCACGGAGGGTCGAGAGCGAAAGTTTTTGGCGGTTGGATCCTTCAAGGAATGGGTTTGGACTCTTTGCTCCATCTTCTTCATTTCTTCTTTTTTATTCTTATTCTTCATTTTTCTTCTTCTACTTCTTATTCTTATTCTTCATTTTCCTTTTTCACTTCTTTATTCTTATTCTTTAATTTCTTCTTTTTGTGTGTGTTTTCATATTTGGTACGTCTGTTTTGGGTGTCTTTCTATGTTTCTTTGTCAGTCTTTCTCTAATTAATTACTTTTTTCTTTCTTTATCTATTCTCTCTCTTCCTCCCCCTCCCTCCTCGCTCTCTCTCTCTCTTTCTTCGCTATCTCTCTCACTCTGCTCCTCATCCATCCTTTGTCGCACTCCTTCCCCCTCTCCCCTTCCCGCTCTCCATCACCCTCCATCTCCCTCCTCTCCCATCTCTTTTCCCTTCTCCCTCTCCCTTCCCTCATCCCCTCACCCTCCCCTCTCCCTCACCTGCATCTCCCTTCCTCGCTCTCTCTCCTCCCCCTCCCCCAGCCTCCCTTTCCTCACCCTCTCATCTCCCTCCCCTCCCCCTCCCCCTCTCCCTCACCCCCCCTCCACTCCCTCCCTTTCTTTCCCAAAATGCTTACGCGGTTTCTGAGAACAAATGCATCTCGTAAGGGGAAAGAGGGGGAATTTTCCAACCGTTCTCTTTTCCTATCTCTCTCTCTCTCTCTCTGTGTTCTCTCTGCTCTCTCTTCTCTCTCTCTCTATCTATCTATTCTCTTTCTTTCTCTTCTCTCCTCTCTCTCTCTCTCTCTCTCTCTCTCTCTCTCTCTCTCTCTCTCTCTCTCTCTCTCTCTCTCTCTCTCTCTCTCTCTCTCTCTCTCTCTCTCTCTCTCTCTCTGTTCTCTCTCTCTCTCTGCTCTCTCTTCTCTCTCTCTCTCTCTCTAATCTATCTATCTCTCTCTCCTCTCTCTCTCTCTCTCCTTTCTCTCTCTCTCTCTCCTCTCTCCTCTCTCTCTCTTCTCTCTCTCTCTCTCTCTCTCTCTCTCTCTCTCTCTCTCTCTCTCCTCTCTCTCTCTCTCTCTCTCTTCTCATCTCTCTCTCTCTCTCTCTCGCTCGCTCGCTCTTCTCCCCCCCCCTCTCTCTCTCTCTCACTCTCACTCACTTTCGCCTTCTTTTCCCTCTTCTTCCAAACTCTCTCAAACGCTAATCTCCCTCTCATTCTCTGTCTCTCTCCTTTCCCCCCTCTTTCTCTCTTCTTTCCTTTCCTTTTTTGTGTGTGTGTTTCGTGGAGAAAATAAGTCCTACATTTTGAAATCAGAGGTCAACTTGTGACGTCATAATCTAGGTCGTTAAGATGAGGGAAGCTTATTAATCGAGGTCATTCTTCTGTCTATTTGTCTCTTAATTTATCTGATTTTCTCTGTCTCTTTCGCTCTCTCTCACTCACAGACTCACTCTCTCCTTTTTCTCTCTTTTTCTTTCTCTCTCTTCTCTTCCTCTTTTCTCTCTGCTTTTCACCATTCCTTTATATTTATCTTAATATCTCTCTCTTCTTCTTATCTCTTTATCTCTCTCTTTCTTTATCTCTTTATCTCTCTCTCTGTCTCTCTGTCTCTACCTTTGTCTCTGTCTCTACCTCTATCTCTCCCTCTCTCTCTCTCACTCTCTCTCTTCCTGAGTCTTCAGAAACCGGAAGTGGACTAAAGAGGTTAAATGTCAAGTTAGGAATTTTATAAAATAATGCAGAAAAAGTAGTAAAAAAAAAAAAAAAAAAAAAAAAAAAAAAAAAAAAAAGTTTGTACACTACAATATCAAGTTAGCAGAAAAATATTAGATCGCTTTTTCTAGACCTGGACTGCAGAGATGAGGGAAATAAGATAGAGATACTGAGAGACCGTAGTTTTTGCTATTATTGTTGTTTTTTTGCTATTTATTGCTACTGTCATGTCGGTTCCATATCATCTCATGTCCTCAATTCCTATATTCAAATATTTATAAGAGTTCCATGGCTTTATGAAGCAAACCATATCTTCGTAAGTGCATACGTGGATATGCTCGCGAGAGAGAGAGAGAAATGAGGGGAGAGGGAGAGGGAGAGGAGAGAGAGAGAGAGAGAGAGAGAGAAGAGAGAGAGAGAGAGAGAGAGAGAGAGAGAGAGAGAGAGAGAGAGAGAAGAGAGAGAGAGAGAGAGAGACAGAGAGAGACAAGAGAGAGAGAGAGAGAGAGAGAGAGAGAGAGAGAGAGAGAGAGAGAGAGAGAGAAGAGAGAGAGAGAGGGGGGGAGGGAGAGGGAGGGAGGAGGGAAAGAGAGAGAGAGAGAGAGGATGAGAGATAAGAGAGAGAAAGAAAGGACAAGACAGAGAAACAGAAGAAAAAACAACGAGATAAAGAGAGCAGAGAGAGAAAGAGAGGAGAGAGAGAGAGAGAGAGAGAGAAGAGAGAGAGAGAGAGAGAGAGAAAGAGAAAAGAGAAAGAGAAGGGAGGAGAGAAAGAGAAAAGAGAGATCAGGACAGAGACAGAAGACAGAGACAGAGACAGAGACAGAGACAGAGAACAGAGACAGAGACAGAGGCAGACGACAGAGACAGAGACAGAGACAGAGACAGAGACATGAGACATGAGACCGGGAGACGAGACCGGAGACAGAGACAGAGACTAGAGACATGAGACGCGAGC